TATTTTACCCTTGTATTTTGGGGTGTCTTAGTCATAAGATTTATTTTTTACTTGTATTTCTCATTTTATCCTTGTATTATGGGGTGTCTTAGATTATAGGATTTTATTTTATAGCTAGGGTATTTTATTAAGGTTTGAAACTAGGCCTAGACATGTTTTTTTGGAGGCATTAGATTTATTTTTGAACTTGGCAAGGCTTAGGCCTAAGTGGAGGGCACCTAGGTTGCATGGTCTTATCATGCACCTAGATGTAGCTTAACCAAACCCAAAGATTCCATCCTTGGCCACCAAGTAATATCTAGGGTTAATTTAGGTTTCATTTGAAGTGCATTTGGATTGCATTACTTGGCCATGCACTCTCAAATGTAACCCTAAATTCATCCTCCCTTCTATAAATACCTTAGGCTAGCCTCCTTGTAAATACTTTGGAAATTAATATAAAGTGAGCCTTTTTGTGCCTTTATATTTTCCTTAGTCTCTCTTGGTCATTTTTGACCAAGAACCCTACCTATCTCCACCTTGAGTAAAAACCCTAGAAGTGGCCTTCATCACCCATGGAGTGAGCCAAAACCTAGAGTACCTCTCAAGCATTCCATCAAACACCTTTTATCCTTCCTCTATTTTCAGTCACCACCACCATCTAAGGCTAGACCTTTGAAGAACTAAGATCCGTGGAGTCTGGGAGTCCTCTCATTGATCATCCTTCTTCCATCAATGCTAGTAAGGATTCCATCACAAGTTTTTTTTGTTCTCTATTTTCACGTCAATTTGTTTTTGATGTTCCTTGGGTCCAATTTCTTTTCTTTGATATTCAGCCCATTGTTTCTTAGGTTTTGCACTTGTGGGTGTCGAATAAATGAATGACTCATAAAGAGTACACATAATCATATAGTTATGCTTAAAATATATGAACTTTAATATTTGATATATAATTAGTAGTGACTAATTAAGAATGTCTTCAATCTTCTCCTAAAGAACTCTTAAGAGTTTAGGAGACATAAAAATATAATAATTGATAGTAATATCTAAATTAAAATTAATTATCATTTTATAAAGTTAACAAAAACTTAGCAACATCATTAAAATGTTACAAAAATAGTACTTTGATAAAATTTGAAAAATGTTGCCTAATTGTGTAAAAATGCTATTAAAAGTCTTTGGCAACATGGAGTATATGCAACATTTGATAATATGTTGCTAAAGCAAATTAGTAACATTTATACACAATTAGGTAATATTTTTCAAAGAGGAGGGATCATTTTACTCCAGGAGTAAGTCTACCTAGACTTACCCTGTTCAATACCTCGTGTTTTACATCAAATTTCTACAATCCAACCGTTCAATTTTAAAGTTCTTAATGTATAGATCAAGTATGCAAATTTTTAGAAAATTTGAAAGTCATTTGATACTTCGTTTCATTAATTCGAATCAATGTATAAAATGATATTATGATTATCCGTCAATTTGAATTAATGAAACGAAGTATCAAATGATTTTCAAATTTTCTAAAAATTTGCAAATGTTATCTATGCATTAAGAACTTTAAATTGAACGGTTGGATCGTAGAAATTTGATGTAGAACATGAGTTATTGAATGGAGTAAGTCTAGGTAGACTTACTCCTAAAGTAAAATGATCCCTCCTCTTTTTCAAATGATAAAAGCTCTTTGTGTTGTAGTGTACAATTTTGAAGCTTTAATCTAGATATATCAGATGTTGTATTATTATAGAATTGTTAATTATCAAAAGCTCCTCAATAATTCTTTTAAGACTAAGATTGTTACGGTTACTCTTTGGATGACAAAGTGAATGGATTAGATAATTTTTCAAGCAGACAATGTATCAGATAGAAATAATTCACTAATCTATTTAGATCTATTAAAATTCACTCAAAAATTTAATCTTTTCAATCTATTTAAAAAAAAATCTTTCAAATATTTTTTTTTCATAGGTAAATATCTAGTTCATCTATAAAAGTAATATTGTAGAAATATCCATAATATTTTAATCAATTTGATATGAAGATCAAAACAACCTTGGAGTCCTTGGCAACATGGAGTATATGCAACATTTGATAATATGTTGCTAAAGCAAATTAGTAACATTTATACACAATTAGGTAATATTTTTCAAAGAGGAGGGATCATTTTACTCCAGGAGTAAGTCTACCTAATCCTCCATCATACTCACATCAGCCATCCTGAACACGATCCTCATTCCACTAGACGACACCCCTTCGTTGATGGAATTATGGAAGTTCCCCTTCCACCTACTTGGAAACCATTAAACATTGACAGATACGACAGAACCACTGATCCCGATGAGCACATCGACGCATATGTTACCCAGATCAACCTTTACATGAATGATGATGCCATCATGTGTCGTGTATTCCCAACTTCACTCAAAGGGGCTGCCTTTAGTTGGTACACACAACTACCACTCAGATCAGTAGATAATTTTGATACTTTGGTTCGCCTTTTCTCTGCCCAATATGCCACTAGCAGTCCTCATCATATTACCTCAACAACATTGTCTAACCTACGACAATAAGATGATGAATCCCTCAAGCATTTTATGGAACGTTTTGCCAACGTTTCCATCAAAATCTGAAACCTTAATCCTGAAGTCGCCCTCCATTCCATGCTGATGGCACTCAAACCTGGACCCTTTGTTGACAGCCTTTGCTGACACCAACCAGTAAGCATGGAAAAACTGAGAGCACGCGCTGTCAGATACATCCAAATGGAAGAACATGCTGAATTCTGTAATAATATCCGAGATGGCCTCACTGTCAAGGGAGAATCCAGTAGTAGGGAGAAGCAAAAGAATCACTTCAATCAAAGATCCAAAAGACCTCGTCAAGCACGAGGTCCCAGGTATGATTTTTACACACCCCTTAATGCTCCTCGAGTTAACATTTTAGAGGAAGCTAACCATGCAGATCTAATCTCCTTACCTCCCCCGGAATACAACTCAGCCAATGCCGACATGAGCAAACACTGTCGTTATCATAGAAATTATGGGCATAACACGGAAGAATGTTGGAGTCTTAAAGACAGGATCGAAGAATTAATTCAAGCTGGTCAACTTGGACAATATGTCCAACGTGGCCAAGCTTCTCGAGGAGGTTTCCGTGGACGCGGCAGAAGGCGAGGTAGATATTCAAACTGATATCAAGGACGATATCAAGGTCACCCGGGCTGATCTGAGCAAGGTAATTATCAACAAGCACATACACGTGAAGAAAACAAGCCCAGCACAAATAGTGCCGATCCACAACATGTAGACAAATCCTCTATAGAAAATAACTTGCGTGGGGTCATGAATACCATTGCGGGAGGCTTCGCTGGTGGAGGAAGCTCTAATTTCGCCAGAAAGCGACATCTACGCAACATTCATAACATCAATGATCACCACAGCTCGGAATCAAAACCAAATCCATCAACTCCTCCCATTTTCTTCACTGATGACGATTTTGAAGGAATAAGTCTAAACCAAGATGATCCTATGGTCATCTCTGTCGAAGTGGGCAACTGGGAAGTCCAAAAGACCTTAATTGATCAAGGCAGCTATGCGGATGTGCTGTACTGGCCAACCTTTCTAAAGCTTGATATTCCTCATAATATGATCCAACCATACTTCGAGCCTCTCGTGGGCTTTGTAGGTGAGCGAGTCCATACTCGTGGTTTCATTGAATTACTAACCTCTTTTGGTACAACTTTGAAATCAAGAAGAGTGTTGGTGAAATATCTCTTAGTTGATGCCATTAATTCTTACAACATTCTTATTGGAAGACCAACACTGAACCAGTTGGGAGCTGTAGTGTCTACACCTCACTTAACCATGAAATTCCCGGGGATGAACGGACATATCATAACTATCAAAGCCAATCAACAATTAGCAAGGAAATATTACGCTGAAAGTCTAAAGATCACTCTCACCAAACCTCAACTTGGAATGACGAGTTCTACAATGATGGCCCATGTCGGCAAAAGTGAGATGATCAAGTTGGATCCCCGAGTTGACATGCATGACCACCGACCTAGTCCTGTTGATGAGCTACTTGAATTCTAAATTGGTAAGAAGCGGGGACAGTGCACAAAAATCGAGAAACACATAGAACCCGACTTCCGAGGTAAAATCATGTCAATTCTCATTGAAAATGCTCACCTCTTTGCATGGAGCAGTGCAGATATGCCAGGGATAGACCCCAGTTTTATTTTCCACAGATTAGCCATTTACAAGGAAGCAAAACCAGTATCTCAGAAGCAAAGAAAGATTGGTGGCGAAAGAAGAGAAGCTGTTAAAGTTGAAACTCAAAAATTGTTGAATGCAGGATTCATCAAAGAAATTAAGTATACCACTTGGCTAGCCAATGTCGTGATGGTTAAAAAATCTAATGGTAAGTGGCATATGTGTGTTGATTATACAGATTTAAACAAAGCTTGTCCAAAAGATGCATACCCTCTACCTAGTATTGACAGATTGGTGGATGGAGCCTCTAGTTATGCTATGCTTAGCTTTCTAGATGCCTACTCAGGCTATAATCAGATTCTCCTGTATCCTCCAGATGAAGAATACACTGCTTTTATCACAAAACAAGCCAATTACTGTTATCATGTCATGCCATTTGGGCTTAAAAATGTAGGAGCAATGTATCAGAGGTTAATGGACAAGGTCTTTGCTGAACAGATCGGTCGTAACCTTGAAGTTTACGTTGATGACATGGTAATCAAAATAAAATCAGCCAATGATCATGTCTGAGATCTCGAAGAAATCCTCCAACAAGTCAGAAAGTACAACATGAGATTAAATCCTGAGAAATGTGTTTTTAGAGTCCAAGGCAGAAAGCTTTTAGGATTTATGATTACTTGCCGAGGAATAGAAGCAAATCCGGATAAGTGTCAGGCATTGATTAACATGAGGAGTCCCCAAAATCATAAAGAGGCACAAAGATTGGCGGGCAGACTTGCTTCTTTATCTCGGTTCATTCCCAAGATGGCGAAAAAGGCCAAAACTATTTTTAACTTGCTCAAAAAACCAAAAGATTTTCATTGTGATGACCGATGTGAACAAGCATTTTCTGATTTTAAAAGATTTTTATCTGCACCTCCTATCCTGACCAAGCCTCAGCGCCACGCCGATCTCTTGTTGTATCTTGTCGTGGCTGACAATGCAATCAGTGCGGCACTTATGCAAACTGACGGTAAAAAACAAATTCCTATTTACTTTATTAGTCGTGTTTTGCAGGCGATAGAGAAGAGGTATCAAACTATTGAGAAATTGGTTCTTTCCTTAATAACCTCAGCTTGTCGACTTCGGCCTTATTTTCAAAGTCATCAGATTGTAGTCAAGACCGATTATCCCATCAAACAGATACTTCGAAAGCCCGATCTTGCAAGTCAGATGACAACTTGGTCGATTGAGCTATCTGAATATGGAATAAAATATGAAAGTCGTGGAGTGTTGAAAGCCCAATGTCTTGCTGATTTCATAGCCGAGCTCACACCCAACATTTCGTTGGAAGATCAATTCTGGATCTTACACGTTGATGGCTCATCTAATACCAAAGGTAGTGGTGCAGGGATCATCCTTGAAGGCCCTAATGATATGATGCTTGAGCTTGCAATCAAGTTTGACTTTCGAGATACTAACAACCAGGCAGAATATGAAGCTTTGCTTGCAGGTTTGAGATTGGCCAATGATGTCAGCGTCAAGAAGCTCAGATGTTGTGGCGATTCCAAGTTAATTACAGAGCAAGTAGGAGGAAATTATCAAACAAAAGAACCACAACTCCAAAGGTATAACCTTATGGTGTCTCATCTAACCTCGTCCTTTGACCATTTTCAGATCGAACACATTCCAAGAGCACAAAATGTTAGAGCTGACTTGCTATCCAAACTAGCCAGTACTAAACGTCCAGGACAGTATAAAACAATTATCCAAGAGACAATTAGTACTCCCAGCTATGATTCTGTAGCCGTATTGGCCAACAATCCTAGTCAGTCAAGTTGGATGTCAAACATTTGGCAATATCTTACAAATGGTACTTTACCAAGTGACAAATTTGAAGCTTCAAAAGTCAAAGCCAAATCTTGTCATTTCACAATCGAAGCTGGTGAATTGTTCAAAAGAAGATTCTTAATGCCCCTTTTAAAATGTCTTGACCTGGATCAAGCTGAGTATGTAATGAGCGAGATCCATCGGGGTATATGTGGTATGCATTCTGGAGCTCAATCCATGGCTGCAAGGGTAGTCCGAGCTGGCTACTATTGGCCAACTATGAGATTAGATTGTAAAGCATATGTACAAAAATGCGAAGCTTGTTAGAAATTTGGCAACCTACATCAGTTACCTACAACAACACTTCACTCCATGCAATCAACATGGCCTTTTGCGTGGTGGGGCATGGACATACTTGGTCCTTTCCCAATTACCAAAGGTTAATTGAAATTTTTAATTGTAGGGATTGATTACTTCACAAAGTGGATTGAAGCTGAACCTTTAGTGAGAATTACAGCAACTAATGTGCAACAGTTTACGTGGAAGAAAATCATTTGTAGGTGTGGCCTACCTCAAGAAATTACCACAGATACACTAGTACAAAAGACCCTTTTTACGTCGGGTATTTGAAGCTTTTTACGTCAGAAACGCAGTCGATGTTAATACGGGAGACGTAAATTTACGTTGCCTAGAAAAGACGACGTAAATTTACGTCGAAGATGCCTTTAGCCCGACGTAAAAAAGGGCTTTGGAAAGGGAAAACTGACGCGTCAATTTACGTCGGACTATACCTTGTCCGACGTAAATTTACGCTTTTTTTTTTGAATTTTGGTTGCTTATTGATATACCCAAAACCTGCATATATAGTCCATAATATAAAACTTAAACCAGGCAGTCCAGAATATAAAACCTAAACCAGGCAGTCCAGAATAGAAATTTAAATTATATTTCAAAATTGAATGACAAAGAAAATAATATATAAATGTTAAAAAACATAAATTATAACAATGTAAATCCTATAATCCTAAAAAAGCTATAAAACATATGTTTGTCAATGCTATCAAACTAGAAACATAATATCTAACTAACTAAACTTAGAAATCTAACTAATATATACTTTGAAGAAAAAAAGTTGCCCATTGTTCTCTTATCTTGATGATCTCATCTTCGGGCAATGGAGATGGATCTTGAAAGACCTGAAACATTAATTTAAGTGTCATTAATATGCAATGTTAATTATCCTAAAGGTAAATATACTTAAATAAATTTTGATATGAATTACCTGCGCCCAAGAATCAGTAATACCCGCAGAAACTATGGCTCTCATCCAATACATGATGTAATAGCCACATTCAAACGAGTCTTGTTGCTTATTACACTAAAATGAGAAACAAATAACTATTAATTCCAAAGTCAATAAATTTAAATATTATTGACTGTATGAATTAATTTGCTAACCTTAGGGTATATGAAATGCAATGACTTTGATGATCTGGCTCTTCCACTTAATATATTAGCTCCAGACACGATTCTAATTAATTGAAATAAAAATAAATGTTAGCCAATATATATAATTACAGTGTTAAAACATAATGAAAAAATTTAGTTACCCATGTAATTGGCTTTTAATTTCCTGGCTTGGTTTTCGATGAAGTGAACAAAACCACACCACGGTATATTCCTTAGGAATGATTACCATTAACTGCCAATGAGACCTACATTGTATGACAAACAAATCAGTTAAAAAATTACCATGATTAAAAAATCAATTAAAAAACTAACCCGTCAATGTATGGAGCCATGTATATATGTCTTCTTGAGTCACTCATCCATGTTTGCATATATTGTTGGATCTGGACCTGAGTGTTTCCTGATTTTTGGATGGATTGAGGCTCAATAAATCCATATACTTCTGCTTGTGCTTGCTCCACACTCAATTTGTCCATGTACCTAACACAAATAATTATTATAAGTTAAATGTAATTATTGTAAATTTAGACTCATAAAAGAAAATATGACTTACATGGCCCACAACTGTATGATAGATATATTTAACATGGAGTTTCCCCCAACAATCTCTAATGCATCAGGCAGGGATATGTACAGTGGAACATCAGAGCTATCAACTCCAAAAACTCTAATGTCCCACTACAATTGAATTGGTTTCTTCTTTAATCGTGATAATATGGATAGAAGCCTGGATATGGGATCATCCTCAGCTTCTGCGATATTAGCATGATCAACATGAGGTTCTCTCATGACTTCATTACCACGATTGATATAATCCTAAAGAAATAATCAAAATTAGTCAAACAATAATAGAATTATAAGAATATAAAAGAGTAATAATAGTATTACCTTTGCCCGTGCTAAAAGCGGCATGACCAAACGCTTTGACCAAGCTAAGAATGTGCCGGTTGCCTACCCCACTAGTTGAATTCTACAATCCAACCGTTCAATTTTAAAGTTCTTAATGTATAGATCAAGTATGCAAATTTTTAGAAAATTTGAAAGTCATTTGATACTTCGTTTCATTAATTCGAATCAATGTATAAAATGATATTATGATTATCCGTCAATTTGAATTAATGAAACGAAGTATCAAATGATTTTCAAATTTTCTAAAAATTTGCAAATGTTATCTATGCATTAAGAACTTTAAATTGAACGGTTGGATCGTAGAAATTTGATGTAGAACATGAGTTATTGAATGGAGTAAGTCTAGGTAGACTTACTCCTAAAGTAAAATGATCCCTCCTCTTTTTCAAATGATAAAAGCTCTTTGTGTTGTAGTGTACAATTTTGAAGCTTTAATCTAGATATATCAGATGTTGTATTATTATAGAATTGTTAATTATCAAAAGCTCCTCAATAATTCTTTTAAGACTAAGATTGTTACGGTTACTCTTTGGATGACAAAGTGAATGGATTAGATAATTTTTCAAGCAGACAATGTATCAGATAGAAATAATTCACTAATCTATTTAGATCTATTAAAATTCACTCAAAAATTTAATCTTTTCAATCTATTTAAAAAAAAATCTTTCAAATATTTTTTTTTCATAGGTAAATATCTAGTTCATCTATAAAAGTAATATTGTAGAAATATCCATAATATTTTAATCAATTTGATATGAAGATCAAAACAACCTTGGAGTCCTTAAAATTCTCGTTGGTCAATTCTCCTGCATGGAAAAAATAGAGTAATTGCCAACCTACACACAAATATTTAAAGACACTATAGACTAAAGTCATGTACATGAACTTTAACAACATTTGAAAGACACGGTCGCAAGGTAGATTAAATATGTAGATCTTGTAATTTGTCATAGATTAATAAGTAAATAAGTATTTATTTATTATTATTTATAGCATTTGGATGTGCCTTAAATAGGAATCTACCACGCCGCATCTATATACATGTGCCTTCAAGGCACCTATCTTGAGCCTTTTTTTGTTTTTATAACTTGCCTACTATTCCTTTGTCACTTTCATTCATTATTATAGTGGAATATTTAGTTCAATATGTTAGAATTAAATGACATAGAAGCTTTGTGTGGAGATGAATTAGTAGTAAATGATATTACACATATTAGATATTGATATAATTTCTTATAGTTAGTTGGACTCTTATATATGAAGCTAGATGGATTATAATAAAAATCTAAGAGTGAAAATCTGTATCGTCCAAGACAATGAGGGAAAATGTGATACCTGGTGGAGAACAAAAAGAATTATTAAAAGGATATGTTTGTGATGGAATCATACTTGGGAATGCAATAGGTGACACACTCAAAGATCCAAGAGGAGTTGGCTAGACATGAAGGTTTGGGCCTGATGGGCCTGGGAAGGCCCAAGTTGAACTTTTCATGGGCCATATGTTGTTATAGCTAATTTCATATGTTTTGTATACATCATGTTAGTATAGGTATCATATATTTTGGTCTTATATTTTGGACCACATAGAGTAGCATTTTAGGTTTTAGGCTAGTTGGGCCTAGTTTTGGGCTTCATGGGCCTTTGGGCTTTTGGTACCCAATATTGGACTCATTCTTCTCCTTGTAATTTTTCCTATTCATTGTATTCATTAGACCATTGTATTTTGGTCATTAGATTAGGGTTTAAGGAGGTTTAGTAGTTCATTTGAATTAGGACAAATTAGGTTAAATTTAGGATGGATTTAAGTTGCATTTAGGTCACACTTTTGGCACCACCATGGCTGCACAAGTGTGACACCGAAATGCAACCCTAAATACATACTAAATTCAGCCTAATTCACATTTAGCTCTACATGACCGGTTAAGCACATGTGACACAAGGTTTGAATTCAAATTTGAATTTGAATTCAAATCTTGGCGCCAACATGTG